TCTGCCAATCAGTGACTTTTCTGAATTGTAATTGCCTACTTTAAACTCATGTCTTCATGAAATAGGCAAATAAGTAATATTTATGTAAAGGTATTTTATGAATTGTGGGGACTAATTTAAATCCCCTAATTGTCACTTTTGATTATGACTTAAATACAATATTATTCAGATGAAAAGTGTAGGTTAAAGGAAGCTAATGTATTATCCCCAAGATGTATGTAAAACCATTGTATGTGTTGTAAGGACGAAGAATAGACATAAACAATATCTTGCAGGAAATTGGAAACTATCTATGGAACCTTTTATGATACAAAAAGGGACCCCCTCTTTGTAGTTGCTTTACTGTGACGTCAGAACCTCTTTCTGGTTAGGAAAAGGCCTTCACAAATACAAAAACACACATTTGACAATTCATTTGATAAAATATCATGTATTCTGAGACTGGTCAATATCTTTATGTAACAGGATACATCATTAGGCCTCCTCAGATCTATAACCACAACATTGAATGAAGCAAAGCCATCGCGTGACCACAACTACTTTGAAAAAGAGCATCATAGCTCAGTCGCAGCAATGGCGCTTTTGCCAATCTGTGAAATGCTACTCGGGCTGAGGCTATAGGCTAATTTCATTACTGTGGGTGTGTCATCAATCATAGACTGGATGTAATCTGGTTGAAGGGACTGTAGCACGTGGCAGTGTGTGCGTGTGTGATGTATGTAGAGAGGGAGGCATTTCAATCACATCACATGATCTTATATTCCAGCATTTATATACAGAAGTTCAAGCAATTTTAGTTAGCTCCAATATACATTATATATATTATAATAAAATAAAATTTGTTATAGGTATCAATCATTTTAGTGGAAAGTTTGTTTTAGCTCAACCCACTCATCTGGGATTATATGTTTTTGTTGTGTTTTTTTTTTTTTTACATATTAAGACACATTAAACATTGTCAACTCATTGATGATGATGATTCATTGACGTCGGCATGGACAGAACTGAAAGCACATTGTATGACAATAGCCATCTCACTAATGCACCCTCTGTGGGGGAAATTAATGCTACGCTAATGGCACATTTATAGCATTAGCATCTTGCATTAAGCCTCGCCATGTGGGATCCAATCCCATCTAATGACCCGCAAATTATTGTCATACATCTATTTAGCTTTCAAGCGTTACCATGGATTCACATGTCCTCCAGCTTGTTTGATAGCTTGGAAGAAAATATAGATTTTTTACAAAGATTAGTATTTGTTTGTTTAAACACCATTTGGATAAAGCCTTTGTATGCAGTGCAAACACATACACACTAATTAGCAACCCTTGCCTTGAAAGTAAAACAAAAAAGCAGATCAAAGGGGTTTGAAACAGAATGAAATTTATTGATTGTGTGACGTGCAGAGTTTTGATGGATGGACTCCAGGGTATGGTCAGACATGAGCTAACCAAAGCTTACACTAAACAAACTGCAGAAAGCCTGTGTAATGATCCATCTGAGATTCTTCTATTAAACAAGTAGTACAGCCTGAGAAAATAGTTCACTCAATACATGTAGTATTTGTGGCTCATCTAACATAAATCCAGGTCGATAGCTAAGATGAGTTCATTATCAAAAACTAAGAAATAAGCCTGGGTATTATCCGTCTAAACCAGGGGTCTTCAACCTGTGGATCAGGAGCTACCAGTAGCTCGCCAGCCCTTTTTCAGGTAGCTCGCCAGGATTTAGAATTTGACAAATGATTTGGAATGAATACATTTTGAGTCATCACATATCTATTATACGTGTAAATATGGGGTTATACAGTATTATGGTATTTTTACATCTGTCTCCATGTTTTCAGAGAACGTTTGGGGCCAATGTCTGAGTGAGTGACTGAATCTGGTCCTGTCTTATCTTGTTGTATGTTGTCCCAGTGTTGTATTGCTATGAGCTTTACTTTACTTTACTGGTGGGGGTAGTTAAAGGGGATGTGTATTATATATATATATGATTTTTTGGCATTGTGGTTGTGTGAGAAGGGGTTGGATATAAGTAATTGTACCTACCCCCATTGCCTATGTTTGCAAGAGAAATTGTCTTAAAAATTTTATGTGCAGGTTTGAAAAAAATGAATTGATTAATTGATTGAGGAGTGGCTCTCTGCCTCTTCTCGTCTTCTGTTGCATAAAAGTAGATCTCCGATTGAAGAAGGTTGGAGACCCCTGGTCTAAAACATGCATGATCTAAACCTATAGAGCTCCAAAGTGTCTTTCGGTCCTGTTACCAGCAGGTTCAGTTTCTATGAGCTTTCCAAAAACCTTTAGTCTTTAATTAATCTTGAAACAGCTTGCCAGTCATTTGTGAACATGACATTTTTTAATCCAAAGAGAAAATACATATTGAAGACATTTTTAAGAAAAGGCTAAAGTATAATAGTCTTCATTTCACTTGTTGATTATGAAGAAACACGTGTCGTTCTCGAGGGTGGGGTGGTCTGATCACTGTCTCTCTCCTCGCATGTGAACTACTTCAACCACTCCCCTCAGGCATTAGGCTACGGCTAGCCTGGCCTTTGCCATCCGTACACTCCACTCAATCATCATTTCACTGCATGTAACGTCTGGGTCTGGTCCCTGGGTTAGCGAATACAATCGGTTGAATTTCGACCGACCAACCAGCGAGCGTGGGAGGTGGGTGTTGTAGTTTAGCAATGGCGAAAAATGCGATAGTAAAGTAATCCGGTCTGGTTCTATCAAGGAATTGAAGCCGGAGCAATAGGAATATTTAGCAAATGTGATCGCTAGAAAAAATAGTGGCGCTACTCCCCACGGGCTCCGTTAGCGGCAAAGGAGATGGCTAGGCTAAATGCTAAATGCTAACAACTCTCTCGGGCGCATTACATACGTCACAATCAACTCAGATCCAATCATTTCAATCTGTAAAAGGAGTTAACCCCTCCCACCTGTTCACGGAGCTCAATGGAGCAAATCCAGACCTTAGTACGAAATGTAATTTGTACTATGGTATGGTACGACCAGGCTAGGCTACGGCCAGTCCGGAACAGAACTTCCTATTCTTCCTATTCTTATCAAAACAAATGAGTTAATAAGCGCCTTTTACAACCTGGTTACATTACATTTGAGGTAATCTTTAAGAGTTACATTAGTAACACACTTGCTGTTATCTCATTACAACAAAAAGCTGCTTTTACAACATATTGTCGCTTTTGCAAACTCAATTTCTAATCCACATCTACTGTAGTCCATTGTCACAAAAGTGCATTGATCACAACTTTTTGTTTCAAAACAGGAATGTTACCCTTTTGCATACTGTCAGTTTTGGCAAGGAATGAGTTAATCCAGTGAGAAAGTATAGCACATTTCACAGACCAAAGTCACCCAAAGCGCTTTCATTCAGACTGGAACATCAAAATAAACATCATGCCAATCTGATTCCTCCCTCTCTCTGCAGCTTAAAGCTGCATTAACTGACTTTATTTTCGTATTCATCACGAAAATGAAATCCATGTCCATGCAGTGCACTGGGATATACGTCCTTTTGAAGAATAAGTAGCACAGGTTTGTGCTGGCGTGACATTATATTTTAGATCGAGTTTTCATGAACCAAGGAAGAGAATGTGTTTCTGGACCAGATTGTGACCAATGTTGTCATGTCTTCAGCTCAGCTTCTTTTGTCACCAGGGTCTAGGCCCTGAGGGATTTGCGAGCTCGTATTTAGGCCCGAGCCCCAACCGGGGTAAGGGCCTATTGCTTTTCCAATTGAACTGTCTTAAGTCACAATCTCCGGGCGCAGCCCGGAGATTGTGACCTGCACGCGACGGCACGTGCCCAGACACTGATAAATCCGTGCCGGAGGCACGGAATGGCTTTGCTCCTGCTGTAGTACACAGTGTAATGAATGGGGTCCTATGGGGGGGGTGGGTGACCTCATGATGGCGAGGTGATTGACGAGCGCGTCAGCGCTCGTCAATCACCGAGAACCCAATAGTTGCGTTTGCCTCGTCGTTCGCT